TCACGATTCTATGCAATGAACAGATGAAATTGTATTTTGACATTCTATATCAAAAGACCTCTTTGAAAAGAGCATGACACACAAATTTCAAAATTGACATATTATGATTTGCGTCGCTCGCCAGATGTGGACAACCGAGTTAAGGGAACAAAAATTACGATTTATCTTCAAATACAGAGGTTAAATATTTTACACTGTAGAGTTTATAAACTCTGAAACACAACAACTCTAATCAGCCAAAGTTTTTTCGCAAATCGGTATATTGTCTAATTTCTGGTAAAATGTTTTAAAAAATAAAGTAAAATAGATTCAAAAGAACTCTATCCGTAACTTTATTCGTAACATACTTTTTTCTTTGTAATCAAGCCATTGTAGCTTTCCAGTTAAGAAACAAGGGAAGTAGTTAGCGTTACTACCAACTTCTCTACTTTAAAAGTTCCTTCTTTCTTTTATTTTGGAGGTAATTAGGTGTTTCAAATAAGAAAATTCTTGAAAACTAACGTGGCTACAACTTAACATGTAAAACAAGTTTGCAACAAACTTCATTTAATACTGTTAAAATTTCTATGGGGCTAGGTAGTTAGCTAAAGTTTATCCAGTACTATGAACCTGATAGTCTGTGAGGTAGTCTAAAAACATTAAAATATAGTTACAAATAAGTAGGTACGCCAGTGATATGATGAGCTTAGTGATATGATAGAACAAACAACACCAATCTGGAACCAGCAATATTTGGCATATCAGGTCAAGACGACATCACTGAGGTGCCGTGTTTAGTATTAAACCTTGTTTGATTGCAACACACCTAAATACTCGACCTAAATCTTTATGCAATCTGTCATTTTCTGGACTACCTTTTAGGTAAATGTAGGTAGTAGGTATATAATATGTACACCGAAATAAATTAGGGACATCATCTGTTACATTTAGCCTTAAGTATATTCTCATTGTACAGTTAACCATTATGTTATCAATACTTGTTTGATTTTAATCCTCCAGAAATTTTTACTTTACTACTAGTTCTTAACTGAAAATATTTAATACAGCACGGAGCATTGTGAATTAGTTTTAAGAAAACCTTGCGTGTTCATGCGTCTAACGTGTTTCTGTGAGAAATCTGTAGTAGACCTAGGCATGTTAGGCTAGGTACTTAACTATGCTTTGAGGGGTAAGGAATGGGAAACACCAATTTGTTATCCCATAACCCCCCCACCCATAAAACCCCGTTCTCATAGACAGATCGTGCTGGTTTGCGAACTAGTTCGAATAACCGTATGTTCAATATTCTAAACGTATAGACGTATGTGTCTAATATTCTTTATTTAGTTTATAATCACTGTTTGTAGCCAATGTTTTTTTGGAATAAACTATATTCATTCATTCATTCATTCAAACGTATTCACCAAATTTAATCAATTAGGATGTTTTTTGCCAAATTATTTGGGAAGAATTAAGTGAAAGGATGGTACAGAAAATTATCAATAAACATATTGAAATTCATGAATGAAACCTTATCTAGGTATTGTACCATTACAACACTAAAATATATACAGGGTGTTTTTTTAAAAACTTGCATCTTTATTTATGTAAAAACCGCAATAGATAGAAATATGCAGTTGGCGGTAATCATCTATTGACGTAGGGGGCACAATATTTTTGAATTCAACGTTACATTCACATTCCCCCCTTTCCCCCCCTGCCCCCAACTTAATTTTTTTAAATAGCAAGGTACCCCTTGTGACATATCAAATAAAAGAGCATAAAAAAAGAAAATGTTTGATGAAAAAAAATTGAAAATCGGTTCATAAATGTGAGAGATATTCCCCCCCTCCCCCCCGGAACTTAATTTTTTTTAATAGCAAGGTACCCCTTGTGACATATCAAATGAAAGAGCATGAAAAAAGAAAATATTTGGTAAAAAAAAAATTAAAATCGGCTCATGAATTTGTGAGATAATCCCCCCCTTTCCCCCTACCCATAACTTGTTTTTTAATAGCAAGGTACCCGCCCTTGTGACATATCAAATGAAAATAAATTTCACCAAACATGTTCTTTTGTCATGCTCTTTCATTTGATATGTCACAAGGGGTACCTTGCTATTAAAAAAAATTAAGTTCCGGGGAGGGGGAGGGGAAATATATAGCAAATTTATGAACCGATTTTCAATTTTTTTTCATCAAACAATTTTTTTTTTCATGGTCTTTCATTTGATATGTCACAAGGGGTACCTTGCTATTAAAAAAAATAAGTTGGGGGCAGGGGGTGAAAGGGGGGGAATGTGAATGTAACGGTGAATTCAAAACAATTGGGCCCCTTACGTCAATAGATGATTCCCGCAAACTGCATATTTCTATCTATTGCGGTTTTTACATAAATAAAGATGCAAGTTTTTAAAAAAACACCCTGTATGTGTTTATGTTTTTGCATTTGCGTTTGTCACGTTTTATAACAGTTCCTTGTAAAAACACGTGTTGTTAGCACCATTTCCAAGATAGGTATATCTATTATGGGATGCCATTGATATAATTATTTATGTAAAAGGCAATGGTTACTTTTTAAAACGTTTTTATTAGCTCGCTTTCTTGTCCGATACAAATTTTGCAATCAATTTTATACTAACTTCCCGATGAGCTAGAAACTTGAAACTTGAAACATAGCTCACAAATGGAAGACAATGCAATATTATATAATTTAATTTTCAAATTTCCCTTGGGCTACGCCCCATGGGCTTGTTTTATTAATTCGCTTTCTTGCAAATTTTGATACTTCCCGATGAGCTAGAGACTTGAAACTTGAAACATAGCTCACAAATGGATGACCATGCCATATTATATAATTTTTATTTTCATATTTCCCTTGGGCTACGCCCCATGGCTTGTTTTTTATTAGCTCGCTTTCCTACAAATTTTGATATAAATTCTAAACGAAGTTCCCGATGAGCTAGAGACTTGAAATTTGAAATATAGCTCACAAATGGATGACAATGCAATGTTATATCATTCAATTTTCATATTTCCCTTGGGCTACGCCCCATGGGCATAGATATTTTCCATGTTTACATTTTGAAAAAATGTAAATATATCAATTAATTTAAGTCAGCTGTAAATACTTAAATTTGACAGTTCGAAGAGCAGAGGTTAAGAGGTACAGGTTATGCTCCCAAGAGATTCTTTATACAAACAAACATTTCAAAATAAATATAAACAATCTAATTGTATATATAAATGTGTTTGTTAATAATGGCAATTGTTATTTATTTAGTATTCTATAAAGTAAACAATACATTAAATAGATTGATATATTTATAGTTAGTAGGTAGGCCATAAATTCAATCTAATACATAAATTTATATGAAAAGAAACTCAAATAAACCTTAGATTTCCCACATGCCTCTGTCTTAATCTGATATAGATGCTTGAAATAGTTTTAACATCCACACACATTAAAAACTAAAAAGTAGAAAATAATTTATAAATAAAAAAGTTTTTTTAAAACAAAACGTTTTTAAACGCACTAAAAAGTAGAAAATAATTTATAAATATGTGGAGATTATAAGTACTTGTAAGATTTAAAACGAAAAACGTGGGGTGCATGCAATTGATAATAATACATAGGTGAAGGTAATTGTAAATTATCTATTGCATGCACGTTTTTCGTTTTAAATCTTACAAGTATTTATAATCTCCACATATTTATAAATTATTTTCTACTTTTTAGTGCGTTTAAAAACGTTTTGTTTTAAAAAACCTTTTTATTTATAAATTATTTTTAAACTAATTTTAAGGTTTATAATTGATTATACAATGTATAACTTTATTATATTTTTTAGAGTGAACGCCCGTGTTTAACTCCCTAGATACCATTGAAAACTTATCTGGTCCGTATGTTATGATTGCAATGCACTGAATAAAAGCTATATAAGTTTTAAAAGGCATCTTTTACTTTTGCCTAGCTAAACTTAAATTTAAACTGAATATCGTCAATGCATATTTCAGCTTCTAATGTATTTTTCATCACATAATCTTGTTTCTCAATAAAAAATTAAATAGAGAATTAATTTAAATTATTGTTTGAAAATGTAGCAAAATATAAGCAGGTTATGTTGCAACTTAATTAGTACGAAATCTCATAGAATTTTGTAAAAAATAGCCTGGACGCATGAGCATTTACTACTAAGAGACACATATAAGAATGAATTAAAATTCGTAAAAAACAGCTCGACAAAAAGGAGGTTCATTTCAGGTAAGATTATATAAATAATAGTTTTTATGTTTGTTTGGGCGAAAAGTCAAGATTCTGACATATGCTGTACTATTTTCTTTGGTTAATAACATAAACGATAGTCTAAAAACATACCAGATTTGTAATTTATATGCTGTTAGTTTTTTATAGGTTTACGTAAATAATGCTGAATTTAATAATTACGATGTTTTACCTGAAACATGATGAATATATAGATTTTCACTATCACAGATTGATGAAAATTCTTAACAAAGTCGCATGGTGTTAAGAAATCGATAAGTACAATGTTACAATGTAATCATGATCACTAAGTCAAGATTCATTACATGTACAAAATGTATACACAAATGGATTCAGATTGAACTAATTTTTGTCATTTTAGAGGAACTACAGACAATTAGGAAAAGTCATGTATGACCTCCTCGTAGCGCTAGTACCATTGATAAATTAATTTAATCCAATACTTTACGTCGATAATTTTTTGAATATTTACCAATTTAACTTTATAATTTTATAGTTTTTTATATTTTTTTACGTGGATAGCGAAAAGATATATCTTTACATATGTAGAGTTTTATTTACTTTCTAAAAGTAGGGCCTAAAGGTGTGAATATTATTGACATCCTACGCCAAAAAAACGTCAACAGGTAAACAAGTAAGGCATCATATAAATGGCCTGAATCTACACAAAATTAGGACTGGACGAATAACAATCAAACCATATTATTAACTAAACGTATCAAGCTGTTTGCTTATACCGTCAAGCGGGCATATTAACCTAACATCTGTACATGGCATGCATCACTAAGCCGTAGGTAGTCCAGAAAGTTGACCGGCACAATAGTACACTTGAGTATTTAGATTGTTATATGGTTCACAGCAATAACAGCGCACCAAACACTGGGCCCGTTAGCAGAGAGCGTGTGTCGCACTACACGGTAGGTGCCCGGCCGTGCTGTCGGCGCGCCACTGCCACCGACAGAGAGGGTGGCTCACGGGGGTGGTGCGCCACCCAGGGGTGTATAGAGGGACAGCACGCCACTAGTCGGCGTCCACCGATATGCGGGGATGATTTGGCCACAATCTGTATCGGAGTGAACATTCTTGGTTATATATGATCCCTTGACTGCCGGTGACACGGTCGCTATTTGAATAAAGGGAGACCAACCAGTCTTTGTGAAAAACGTCAACCCTCGTCAGAAAGAAACTGTTTCTTATGTAAATATATTCAACCCCGGTAAACCACTTTACTTTGAGGCTATTCCGCCTTTTAATTTCTCGACGAGGGGTGCAATTAAACCGAGAACATGGGATTAATTATGCTTTTGAATTAACAAGAGACACTTCGAGGGAAGGTAATCTGAAAGTAATGGTACCATAAAGAGAAACGGTAAAACATGCCTATGTTTTAAAGCATTATCAGATATTAGAAAATAAACGAGTTGTGAAGCTTATGTAACAACACTCACGATAATTAGAACTAATCATTAATTAAATTATAAAAATAAGTAACATCAATGTTTAGTAAAATGTGACAATATTTTGCGTAGCTGATACAATTCTTTGACCTGGCACACATCCATACTACTAGTTTTGCCACAACATAATCTGCACCTTCTAGGGACAAGCTATTCCGCACACAATGATGATGACAAAATTTAGATGATAGATGGAATAGCTCGACGTGGCACACAGCCAAGAGTTGTTATATAAATAGCTTCACCGCAGTACAGACCTTTTCTTCTAAGGCGAAGCTATTCCGTAAACAATGATGATGACAAAATTTAGATGATAGATGGAATAGCTCGACGTGGCACACAGCCAAGAGTTGTTATATAAATAGCTTCACCGCAGTACAGACCTTTTCTTCTAAGGCGAAGCTATTCCGTAAACAATGATGATGACAAAATTTAGATGATAGATGGAATAGCTCGACGTGGCACACAGCCAAGAGTTGTTATATAAATAGCTTCACCGCAGTACAGACCTTTTCTTCTAAGGCGAAGCTATTCCGTAAACAATGATGATGACAAAATTTAGATGATAGATGGAATAGCTCGACGTGGCACACAGCCAAGAGTTGTTATATAAATAGCTTCACCGCAGTACAGACCTTTTCTTCTAAGGCGAAGCTATTCCGTAAACAATGATGATGACAATATTTAGATGATAGATGGAATAGCTCGACGTGGCACACAGCCAAACGTTGTTACACAAAATAACTTTACCGCAGTAAAGACCTTTTCTTTTTTGGCGAAGCTATTCCGCACTTAATGATGATGACAATATTTATATGATAGATGGAATAGCTTGACATGGCACACAGCCAAGATTTGTCACACAAACAGGGTAATAACAAAATAGACCCTGCTTTCTTAGAACTAGCTGGTCTATAAAAAGTGACAATGACAATATTTAGATGTAGGATATGATAACATAGACCTTTACCTAGCAAATACAACTGTAATATGGCTCACTGTGTGAAATTAGAACATGGTTATTGCAAGTATAGTTTTTTCCTGGCTACAAAACATAGTATAGTGGCAACGAATTATTTAGGACACTGTTCAATTAAATCATGTTTAAAAAGAGTAGTTGAGTTAGGTGGATGGCTTGGTGTATGGCCAAAAGCTATTCCTTACACTAGGGCCTAACTATGTTTCATAACGTACTAAAGGAAAATATGGCACCTTGTAGAAGGCAACTTTCAAAAAGAAGACATCAATAATTGCTTAGCTTTTTAAATTGTGCAAATAAATCCATTATTAATTATTATATCTGTACACGCCATCTGTTTATAGCCTTAAGATAAAATACTCTTTAAGATATGTACTCTTACTTTTTTTATTGAACTGAAAAATAAAAGTGATGACGATAGAGGAATAGGAGTTCTGATGAGATATAGAAGACGAGATTAAATGCTTCCAGAAAATCGTATCACCGGAACAGGAGGGAGGCCCCGAGGGCTACAAGTAACAAAGTTTGGGCAGTTTTGGCGATCGAGTGTTGTGCGATTGTCTTGGGACGTTCAGTTCGTTCTACCTCTGCAAGTACGCTTTATAACTGACTATATAACTGGCTCTACGTGCTCCAGGAAGTTAATGTATTTTTGTAATACATTTTTTATTATGAGGGTTTGTTGAGTCTTGGGTTGTCTCATCTAAACTGTAGTGTAAAACAAAAGAAGATGGGTGTAGAAGAAGAATTTTTCAGTGATTTTAGTGCAAATGATGCGTAAAATATAGAAATTGTAATTTAATATTTAAGTAGGCTAATCAAGGGTTTAAAAACCCAAATAGTACCCTCAAGTCTGTGGCCATACAGTTAATACCTGGCCTCATCCTGCAGCACGATTTCACCTTACAACCTCAGCATGATTCATCCCTTACACTTCAAGTCTGTGACTTTATAGTCCGTATCAGACCTGTTCTGCAGCACGACCTCAGATAAGCTCGTTGACCTTATTTCATCTCACAACCTAATCATGATTCATCCCTTACACCTTAAGTCTGTGACTTTACAGTCTATACCTGACCTGTACCTGCAGCACGATCTCAGATAAGCTACTTGACCTCATTTCACATCACAACCTAATCATGATTCATCCCTTACACCTTAAGTCTGTGACTTTAAAGTCTATACCTGAGCTGTACCTGCAGCACGATCAAGCTACTTGACCTCATTTCACATCACAACCTAATCATGATTCATCCCTTACACCTTAAGTCTGTGACTTTAAAGTCTATACCTGACCTGTACCTGCAGCACGATCTCAGATAAGCTACTTGACCTCATTTCACATCACAACCTAATCGTGATTCATCCCTTACACCTTAAGTCTGTGACTTTACAGTCTATACCTGACCTGTACCTGCAGCACGATCAAGCTACTTGACCTCATTTCACATCACAACCTAATCATGATTCATCCCTTACACCTTAAGTCTGTGACTTTAAAGTCTATACCTGACCTGTACCTGCAGCACGATCTCAGATAAGCTACTTGACCTCATTTCACATCACAACCTAATCATGATTCATCCCTTACACCTTAAGTCTGTGACTTTAAAGTCTATACCTGACCTGTACCTGCAGCACGATCTCAGATAAGCTACTTGACCTCATTTCACATCACAACCTAATCATGATTCATCCCTTACACCTTAAGTCTGTGACTTTAAAGTCTATACCTGACCTGTACCTGCAGCACGATCAAGCTACTTGACCTCATTTCACATCACAACCTAATCATGATTCATCCCTTACACCTTAAGTCTGTGACTTTACAGTCTATACCTGACCTGTACCTGCAGCACGATCTCAGATAAGCTACTTGACCTCATTTCACATCACAACCTAATCGTGATTCATCCCTTACACCTTAAGTCTGTGACTTTACAGTCTATACCTGACCTGTACCTGCAGCACGATCAAGCTACTTGACCTCATTTCACATCACAACCTAATCATGATTCATCCCTTACACCTTAAGTCTGTGACTTTAAAGTCTATACCTGACCTGTACCTGCAGCACGATCTCAGATAAGCTACTTGACCTCATTTCACATCACAACCTAATCATGATTCATCCCTTACACCTTAAGTCTGTGACTTTAAAGTCTATACCTGACCTGTACCTGCAGCACGATCTCAGATAAGCTACTTGACCTCATTTCACATCACAACCTAATCATGATTCATCCCTTACACCTTAAGTCTGTGACTTTAAAGTCTATACCTGACCTGTACCTGCAGCACGATCAAGCTACTTGACCTCATTTCACATCACAACCTAATCATGATTCATCCCTTACACCTTAAGTCTGTGACTTTACAGTCTATACCTGACCTGTACCTGCAGCACGATCTCAGATAAGCTACTTGACCTCATTTCACATCACAACCTAATCGTGATTCATCCCTTACACCTTAAGTCTGTGACTTTACAGTCTATACCTGACCTGTACCTGCAGCACGATCTCAGATAAGCTACTTGACCTCATTTCACATCACAACCTAATCGTGATTCATCCCTTACACCTTAAGTCTGTGACTTTACAGTCTATACCTGACCTGTACCTGCAGCACGATCTCAGATAAGCTACTTGACCTCATTTCACATCACAACCTAATCGTGATTCATCCCTTACACCTTAAGTCTGTGACTTTACAGTCTATACCTGACCTGTACCTGCAGCACGATCTCAGATAAGCTACTTGACCTCATTTCACATCACAACCTAATCGTGATTCATCCCTTACACTTCTTGTCTGTGACTTTAAAAGTCAATGCCTGACCTGTTCCTGCAGCACGATCAAGCTACTTGACCTCATTTCACATCACAACCTAATCATGATTCATCCCTTACACCTTAAGTCTGTGACTTTACAGTCTATACCTGACCTGTACCTGCAGCACGATCTCAGATAAGCTACTTGACCTCATTTCACATCACAACCTAATCGTGATTCATCCCTTACACCTTAAGTCTGTGACTTTACAGTCTATACCTGACCTGTACCTGCAGCACGATCTCAGATAAGCTACTTGACCTCATTTCACATCACAACCTAATCGTGATTCATCCCTTACACCTTAAGTCTGTGACTTTACAGTCTATACCTGACCTGTACCTGCAGCACGATCTCAGATAAGCTACTTGACCTCATTTCACATCACAACCTAATCGTGATTCATCCCTTACACCTTAAGTCTGTGACTTTAAAGTCTATACCTGACCTGTACCTGCAGCACGATCTCAGATAAGCTACTTGACCTCATTTCACATCACAACCTAATCGTGATTCATCCCTTACACTTCTTGTCTGTGACTTTAAAAGTCAATGCCTGACCTGTTCCTGCAGCACGATCAAGCTACTTGACCTCATTTCACATCACAACCTAATCATGATTCATCCCTTACACCTTAAGTCTGTGACTTTACAGTCTATACCTGAC